TCTTACACAGAAAATAACTATTTTAAAAATATGTAGTATTTTTTACATCATGATTTAATATTTTGCTTTATAATAAAAATAATAGCTAAATTCTATAAAGGTAAATAAATATTTTACAACATAAAATAAACATCATCTAAGTAATTAATTTGTTTTTTTATTTCTTTATAATAACCAGGGAGTAAGTATTATATTATAATTTAACTTTTACAACACAAAATAATATCATCTAATTAATTAATTTGTTTTTTTATTTCTTTATAATAACCAGTTGGTAAGTATTATATTATAATTTAACTTTTACAACACAAATAAACATCATCTAATTAATTAATTTGTTTTTTTATTTCATAGTGAGTAAGTATTATATTATAATTTAACTTTTATGGCAACTAAATAAACTTACTTTTTTATTTCTTTATAATAACCAGCTGGTAAGTATTATATTGTATTGTAAATCAACTTTTATAATTTTTATATCTAATTAATAAGTTCATTTTTATTTATTTATAATAACCAGCTGGTAAGTAGTATATTATAAATCAACACAAAAATAAATTTATTAAAGCATCATTTAATAAATCTTTTTTATATAACCAGGGAGTAAGTATCATATTATAAAATTAACTTACATAACACAAAATAATTTTTTATTAAAACATCAATTAATTAATAAATTTATTTTTCTTTATAATAAAATAATAACCAGCATGTAAGTAACTTTACAACAAAAAGATAAATTTTTATAACATCATCTAATTAAATATTCTTTATTTCTTCATAATAACAGCTGGTAAATATTATATTATACTATAAAATAACTTTTACAACATATTGTCTAATTAAATAAATTTATAAATTTTTTATAACTTTTAAATGAATGTCTATATAATTCTATTTTATTTTGAATTTTTTATAATGAAATAATAAGATAACACTAAGGGGTTTAAAGAAAGAAAAGAAGAATATGGAACCTGTTCTGTTTGTGCAAGATATAATACTAATTACCAGTGGTGTCAATCATGTGATCCCAAATTGTTAGCTCAAAGTTGGACTAGCAGTGGTAATGACAAATTAGATGAAATAATCAGAAATACACAGCTTGAAGCAAAAGGATTTGATAGCTATCATTACCTTGAATGGATTCCTTATGACCAACTTTCAATTAAAGAAGGAATAGGTGAAGGTGGTTTTGCAACTGTGTACATATGTCATTGGTCAAATGGTCCTAGATATATTAATGATAATAAAAGATATTATCGTCGTAATGGTAATGTAGCATTAAAAAAGTTTAAAAACTCTCAAAATCTTTCTGATAAGTTTTTAAAGGAGGTAAATAATTTGATAATTAATTAAAAATTAATTAATAATGGTTTTTAAATAATATATTAATTTTTTATTGATTTTTATAAAGCTTCAAAACCACATTAAATTTATAGGACCTTATAACAAGGGTATTGTTAATATTTATGGCATTTCACAAGATCCAAATACAAAAGAATACGTTCTTGTAATGAGATATGCACCTCAAGGAGATTTTAAAAAATATTTAAAATCAAATTATACAGGATGGAATGATAAAATTAAAAAACTTTATAATATTATC